TTGTGCCCTTTCTTGATACATACCACTCCACAGTCATACTTTTCTTTATGAAATGACAAGAATTATTGGTTGTCAGAGAGAAAAGACAGACACAGTGAGCAATAAAATACACAGATAACAGATGAGCACAGCCACAGCAGAGCATGAAAACGATCCTGCAACAAATGAAAAGTACCTTGCATCTGTCTCAGCTTTTTTAAAACCCTCCAGAGACCACACACACACACACACACACACACACACACACACACACACACACACACACACACAAGAACTGATCTAAAGAAACAAGTTGCTGACTTACACATGCAGTTGAAATATGAGACGCTGACGCACTCACTCACTCACTCACACACTCACAAACACACACATGCTCTGCAAGGACAACAACATGCATGCATGCATCCCCCTTACCTTCTCTCAGTGCACGCTCTCTCTCTCCTGCGCAGGGAGTGAGGGATGGGATCAAATGAGAGAGGGAGCAAGGATGGAGAAGGAGGAGGAGAAGGGGATGAGAGCCGGTCGCGAGGAGAGGAGGAGCGACAGCAGGTTGTTGTCGGGTGTTCCACTGACTCCGTCTCCCATGGGGTTCTGCTCACTCCCTACTTCAGGAGGTGTCTCTTCAGGGCTCAGGTGTCCCTTCAGGGCTGTCCCACCTCCTGTGTGCCCTGGTGCTTTGCAAGGCTCCCCAGGCACTCTCCTCACTCTTTCTCTCTGTCTCTCAGTCCTTCACACGTGGAGGCTTGTCCTGCTAAACACTGTGTGAATGTCATCCGGTCAGTGTAGCCTGTGTGCCCTCTTCTCTTCTTGTTTTCTTTCTTTTTTCTCCCCCCCCTCCCTCCTGTTCTTCTCACTTGTTCCCTCTGTTTACCTCCTCCGGTAGTGAACAGAGCTCACTTGCAATTCAAATGGGCTCATGTGTGATTGTGTGTGTTTGTGTATCTGTATGTGCAATCTGAGAGTGAGGGAGCGAGTGGGTGAGTGTGAGGGGGCTGGCGGTGAGGTCGCTGAATGGGGGTGGTGATGAGAAGAGAGAGAGAGAGAGGGAAAGAGAGAGAGAGAGAAAGAGAGAGACAGAGAGAGAGGGAATGAGAGAGAGAGAGAGAGAGTGAGAGAGAGAGAGTGAGAGAGAGTATGTGTTGTCAAGACCAGCGTTAGGGAAAGTGGGGGGTGATGTAAAAGTTAAATACATTAACCATTCTCTGGCTGGTGTGATAACATCTGTATTAGGAGAGCTGCAGACTGCATGTTAGAGGTTACGCTGTCTTTGTGCTTTTATCGCTACTTCAATCAGGCGCTCAACTGCCTCTAAATGAACATGTTTAAATGGAAGAATGGCCTATCAGACACTTAATGGATTTATGCAAATATTTAGTGTGCTGCCTTTAAAACAAATTAAAACCTGTACCACGTTAAATAAAAAGAGGAAAATCTGGTCTTTTGACCTGTTTCTGGCAGCGCTGATGAAACAGCTGTACAATTTGTTTGTGCAGCAAATTATTTTAGTTTTCAAGCTTGTTTTTTCACATTAAATTAACAGAATGAGAAAACTGTATTTTTTCTAAAGAGACACTTTTTTTTTAAATGAAAAAGAGGATGCAATATGTATATTAGCCCAATGTAGTTTTGAAAGGGATTTTTACTATGAGGGTGAGCGGGAATTATTTACTATAGTAAATAAATAATAATGATAATAATAATAATAATAATAATAATAATAATAATAATAATAACAATAATAACTTTTACCTGTATTAAACTTCTTAGTTACTGGACAAGTTAGACTGCAGCTAAATACCTTATTTTGTTAATATGTCTTGTTTTATATATACATACATATATATATATGTAGGAGGAGTTAGCTTAGTTTAGCACAAAGACTGGAAACAGCTAACTTGGCTACAATCAATGGTAACAAAATCCACGTACCAGCACCTCTAAAGCTCACTCATTAACGCTAATTAATCCGTACACAAACCAAAAAATATAAAAATGTTAATTTGTGGTCTTACAGGACAAGGTCAGGAAGCGACAGATCCAGTCTAGTTGTTTCTTCGTGCTAAGCCTGGCTAACCAGCTGTCGCATCATGTTTACTGTAGCCTACAGACGACTATTCCTATTGCGTTTTCCCTCTCTGCCTAATTTCCTCATCTAAGCCTTTCTATCCTTGATTGTCTTGCTGAAGTAAGGGGAAATTGTTGCATTTGGTCCACTGTGCTCAGTAGCTTGTATTTGATGCCTGGGGCTTGGTTTCAGAGTGAATCCACTTGTCTGTGGAGTTGAAATTAAAAACCTGTGCCCCTGCATGTTACAGTGAGGGCACAATGTAATGAACTGGAAACCTGCCGGACAGCGACGATCTATAAAGTCTCTATACAGGACGGCCATATTGAAGGCTTTATGTCCTCCACCTATAGGTCAAGTGTAGATCTCTAAGGATTGGGGGGGGGCACATTCATATCAACCCAGCCCTCTTATCTCCACACAATGGTGGGCCTCATGTACCATGCTCTCTCTCTCTCCTGAGCGCTTTAATCAATATCATCAGGAAAATAGAAAGAGGCCCGCCACATTGTGTGCAAACTCCCCCCTGTGCGTTCTGTGATGGGGCCTTTTCTCACTCATTCACCAGGTACTTCAGTGTAGGGCTATTGAGGTCGCTCTGAATGGGACCCACTCCACCCAGAGGGAATATTGTCTGACCGCAGGCTAAAATCTGAGAGACCCCCCCTCCCAGCCATACACCCATCCACCCTATCTCCCTTCCTCTCTCTCCCTCTCTCTCTCTCTGCCTACAAAATCACTTCAAAGAAGAATAAAAAATGGCACATGAGCGCTATTAATAAATGTATCACTTCAGTGGCCACAACTGGTCTTTTTTTTTTTCAGTGAGGACCCTTTACTGCGGCTGGACTCTCTTTCAAAGCCACCAGTCTTCCTCTCTGTATCCCTCTCCATTCGCTGGCCCACTTTACAGTCCCTAAGAAGTTCTGAAAGTCGGCAATCTGGCAGAGCGCGATACGCCGGCTGCTTTTGAAGATTGGATGGTGATTAACCTTAGAGAGATTACTGCACATACACAACTTTATGTATGAGCTGCGTTCTTACAACTTTTATGTTGTTTTTTGGGGGGGCGGGGTGATTTGTGAATCATGTTGTAGTCTGTTTCCCTAAGACTTTGGACATCTGTCTGACATCTGCCAGACCTGGAACTGATGCACAGGCTTGGGTGACACACGCTCACAAGCTCTCACACACATCCTCTCTCCATTTCACTGCCATCGTGACTGGCCTGAATATTTCTTTTGATCCCACAGCTCCTCTCCTCTTGTGTTGCCATTTAATAATTTATCGACATTCAGTCACTGGACAAACTCCATCCGCACAGAAAGCGACAGAAAGTGAGAGTAAAAATTTCATTTGGCATAATTGCATGAAAAGGAACTGCAAAACTGGCCTTTTCATCTATTATTGATGTCTGCTTACAAGCCATGCATAATGGAAGGGGCTGTCTTTATGACAACCATGTATTAAATATCATGTTCTGGGGGTCGGGGGGTCTCGTGCTGCCTACTTTGCCTACTCAGTTAGTTGGCTTTGGTACTGAATAATAGCCTGTATGGACAGTGTTGTTAAAGCAAAGAGAGAAATAGGGACTGTGAGAGAAAGCGATAGAGAGAGATTGACAGAGATGAGATGAAATGGGGGGACATGCGGGAGGGTGGGAGGGTGTGTTAGCTGACAACGGGTTAACAGGAATCTTTATTTTTAACAACATGTCATCACCAGCCGCCCATCTGCTCCTGTGCTGTCAGAGTCCCTTGGGAGTGTGTGTGTGTGTGTGTGTGTGTGTGTGTGTGTGTGAGTAAATGTGTGAGAAAGGGAGAGAGGGGGAGATGCAAGCAAGCCATCACAGATCAGATCACTGATCAGCACCCAAAGGAGGAGGAGGAGAGAGAACAAGGTTAGAGAGGTGGGTGGCACACAGATATCTCTCTCCTCTAATATCCAAATGGGCTGCGACAGGGGAAGACAGTAGGAGTGGAAGTGTGTGTGTGGTTGTGTGTGACAGGAAGGTAAAGTAGGATTAGGTGGATCAATCTACAACTGCCCTCTGTGTGTTTGGATGGGGGGATGGAAGGAGGTGGAGATGGTGGTCCAGAGGTAATGAGAGGGAATCTATTAGCACGGAGGAGGGGAGGGGGTATGAAGACACACAAAGAAAAAAGCAGTGGTAAGGAGGAGGAGGGAGGGAGGAGGTGCGTAGGCTATGCTGGACCTCCAGGGGTGGCCCCAGAAGCTCATTTTATTTATTTTTTTCTTATAAAGGGACCAGTCCCTGGGGAAGAAGGGAGCGATTGAGGAGAGATGTTTGTTGGTGGAGGGACCGGGGGCATGGGCATTTGTTTTCAGAGCTTTTTTTACACAGTGGAGAGACGGGACCAACAGCTAGTCGTTCCGCAGGTCACTCATCATTAGCAAATACAGTCCAGTACAGTTAATCTCTCCGCTTTTATTCTTCCCTCATGCCTGTTTTCTTTTTTTTTCCTCCCCCCTCTCACAGTTTAGACTTGTTTTTCACTCCGTACGCCAAGATGAACTGCAGCCCTCCAGTGGTCCACTCTACTTTATCAAAAAGTTTTCAGTGAAAAATCTTAAGGAATGAAAACATCTTGTTTTCATGTTTATGGTGATGCACTTTCTTTCTGCCCGACATGTAGAGCAAGAAGTCTTCGGTCCTTGTTTGCCTCGCGTCTGCACTGAATCTGCATCTCATATTGACTACTGAAATCTCTCCCCCTTTCTTTATCTTCTTTCCCATGTCTCCCCCCCCATCCTTCAGGCATGGTAAATGTGAAGGCTAATTAGTCCAGAGAAACCAGTCATACCCAAAAAAACCACCCTGGGCCACACTCCCATCCTCCTATTGATCTCGTAGCACCAGAAAAACCGCACACACAATTCACGCACAAAACAAACAAACAAGATGCAACAAGAGTTTTTAGAGCAGCATGTATTATAGATGGTGCATACATAGAAAAAGTCAGAAAGCTTGTATTATGTAAGTTTTTTGTCCTTGACAGAGGTCAAGTGTTTTCTAAATATTCTGCATCATGCTCAAAGATGCTATTTACAGAGTCGGCCAGTAAAGGAAATGTTTTGCAGCATCAAAACCTTTTTTCTTGCATTTCCTCTTCTCCTCAGTTCCTCCCGCTTTCTCAGCCATCCCCCCCCCCCACTCTCCGTTCTCAGTCCTTCCCTCATTTCTGATCCATTTTTTATGCATTACTCCATTACTCTCAACTCCCATTTACAGTGCATTACCTCCTCCCATCTTTCACAAACACACTTTCTACTTCTCTCTCCTTCCTTCAGTCACTCAGTTTCCTTCCTTCCCTCCCTCACCCTCCTCCAGTGCATTATCACACTTTCCTCTACTTCTCCCCTTCACCTCCTTTATTATCTCTTTGTCTCTTCTCCGGTCACGTCATCTCATACTAAGCGTTTCTTTTCCCTTTATCTTTACTTCCCATCTAGCTTGTCATTCTGTATACATCACGCTGTCTGTCTGCACTGCTGTCGCCCTCCCTTTTAATTGGTTATTCAAAGCATGCCATGTAATTTGGTACTTAATGTTGCCTCCGCTCTTTTACAACACGAATGTAAAAAATGTCAGCCAATGTAATTAACAATACTGGTCGGTCAGTCTGGCCAGACAATGATTTGTCCCTTTTGAGCGCAGACAAATGCACAGACAATCAGCAGACTCCCAGCATGAGGTGATAAATCACTGAATTACAAGCTGCAATACAAAGTCAAACAGATGAGTGAGCAGTGTGTGGAGATGTCATCCTGTAGCTTTTAAATCAGAGAACTGTGGTGATGTTGTCTTCAGCGTGTTCTTTACAGTACAAAGACACGCAGGAGTTCATGGCTGTTTTTCATGTCAAAGGACGTTCTCTTTGATTGTAGGACACAGCTTTCGGGAACCCATTCTCACTGCTGTGGATAAAACAAAAAAAGTTAATTTGGTGTATATAATATATATAACTTAATGGTTAATGGTCTTTAATTATTGTCTAAAAACATGCAATTTTATTGAAGGGATTCTCTGTGGAAGCAAATAATGACCATAAAGATTTTAATTTTATATGAAATATTTCACATCAAAAACCATCTATCCAAATATACAGTATGTGGTCAGTAACAGTCAATATCAAGTTGTGCAATTTCTAGCATATATTGTATATTTTTAGGGTTCACAAAGAAATATGTTATTTTAAAAAATCTGGTTGCTGATCAGAATTTCTTAAATTGTAATGTCTGATTATCTGACTAAAATTTGAGATAAGAAATTCAGATCTGAACATCCGTGATAGCAAGGATGAACAGCCAAGCCTGAATCATTTTTACTTGTCATGACAAGCAAAATGGTTGACTGTTGTCCAGGGGGAACTCCAGGTCTGGGAAAATAATATCCAGCGCTCTGCCACTGCATCTATTTCATCCATTCTGTTTTTAATTTGCTTATCTGAAGTCCACCAACGTTATGGATGTACAATACTAAATTGCCCTCTTAATGAATGAGTTTAATCATCATCCAGGAAATTATTATTATCTATTATTTGTATAGCTTGAAGCAAAATGAAATGGAATAATTATGGAGGAACATGTATCATAAAGTATCCTGTTAAGCTGGAAGAAGTAGAAGGACCTTTGCTTTAACTGCAAAAAATACAGAAGACTACTTTTAATCTGGGCTTTTTAGAAACAGTAAGTGATTTTAAGTAGCCTATAACCTTCATCACCCTCTATCTGTGACCATGAAGAATTATAGCAACATCGGGCAAAAGTTGTGACTAACACATGAAATGGTAGAACCAGGCCTCAGAGCGATCCACCAGACAGGTTGTCCACTCTTGCAGGGTCACCTTCCTGTTCCTGTTACGGTCACATGACCTGCAAACACAGCACAGTATAACATATGGTGACCTCATAACATGGCACTGCCAGACAACAGAGCAATTTCAGAAACACATGCATTCACTTACAGAGCTAATAGAGCCACACAGAGATGGTATACATCCATAGGTATAGAAACAACTGCACTGGGGCTCATCAACAGCCATTGTCTTTCAGTTCACCCTGCAGCGTTATCTCTGAAGGGTACTCCTTCAATTTGTGTTAATCCATGGGCAGCGGAAGACACAGCGGGTAATAAACATTATCATTGCTGGGAATGGCTTGACATTGACACAGCCAGCCATACTCCCACAAAACCTGTCACTGCAGACTGACAGAGAAAAGGGGGGTTGGGTGGGAGAATAGATGGTGGAGAAAGGGAAAGAGATGGAAGGATTAAAGAATGAGACAAGAGTTAAATCGAGGGAGGGGTTGACAGAGAGGTAGGCTAATTCTGTTTGTCGGAAAGGAAAGAAGGAAGCACAGAAGGGGGAAAAGAAGTGCATCAACATGGAGGAGGAGTAAGATGATGGAGAGGTGGTGTGGTCATGAGATCGGAGGGGAGGACACAGGAAGAGGGTATTGGCATGGAGGATGCATGGATAGATGGCATGCAGAGAGAACAGCATGGTGGGAGGTGCAACTTGGTCACAGAGCGGGGGCGAAATGCATCTCGGTGTGACATTTTTAACCCTTGGTGTTTCAGTAATTAGCTGAAAAATAACATATTGTGAGAGACAGAAGGTTCACATTATGAAGCTTTGCTTGACATGAGGTGATGAACATAGTGAGCAACACTGTTGTTACCTCATCGACCACCCAGTTACCTTATGGTAAGGAAGATTTTTCCTACTTATCAAATAGGCCATGTAATCAGTAATGAGTTTTTTTTCTCTCCCATACTCCTGGCTTCCTGCAAATACATGCAACACTAAAGCTGAATCAGGGGTTAATGATCATTAGTTAATGACATGCTAAAATCTTGGAAGCAGCCCTGTTGCATTGGCTGCTGGAAGTGGCACTGACTGAAAGAATGGTGTGGCACAGTGCTCCAGTGGCATCCTCTTGTAACGCAGCTTCCTCAGGTCCCTGCGGCTCAACTTGCCATCTTTGTTCTTGTCCAGTATGGTAAATCTTTGCTAAAGAGAGAGAGAGGGAGAGAGGCAAAGGTGGAAAAGAAGCATTTATATTTTATTTATAAAATGAATTAAATAAACATGCATTGTGCGCCATGCTTGCAGCGTGGGTCTAGGGGTGGCAATGCTGGTAAGTCAATTAGTCCCCCCACAATTGGATGGATTGCTTTGGAATTTGCCGCAGACACTCAAGGTCTTCTGAGGATGAATCCTAATCAATTGTGTGACCCTGAGTTTTCATCTAGCCCCATCAGGTCAATATTTCCATTTGTTTAAAGCCATATACCTGCAAAACTGACACCATCAGCATCAGCTGAACTTTTTCTTTAGTGCTAATTAAATGTAAGCATGCTAACACACTCAACTTAATGGTCAACATGGTAAACAGAAACACGTTTGCATCGTTAGCACGCTGATGTGAGCATTTAGCTCACCCAAGAACAACATAACATGCATGGCTGTAGAATCTTGCTTTTGAATCTTACATTAATGAAAGACAAAATCTTTGAGATGTAGGTACCACAAAAATAGTTTTATTCCAAAACACAGTATATCATTTTTCATATCATTAAAAAAAATCTTCTTAATTCATTTTCAGCCATGAGGTCAAGGTGGCTGGCGGGAGGATATTAAGTTATCCCTCCATTCACCATCTTATTGAATAATTTAGTGATTATTGACCAAATCCTATTTATACATGGTGTTCTTGAGAGCCCCTGTCTCATTCTGTGGACGACCACACCACAAGCAACACAAGAACATTCCACTTAAAGTAGGTTGTTAACATCGATTTCTCGCCAGACAGTCCTTGAAACGCAGTTTGTATACCAGAACGATGATGGTGTCTGGTGTCAAAAACAACTTTATGTTGAGTGTTAGATTACACTAGGAGTGAAAGTGATCCCTTGGTATATTTTTCTTCCGGCTATAGTTTCTTTAGCATCACAATTGCCCATGGATATTGATTTCATTTGTATCATCATCATTAGCTGAGGTCATTGTAGATCATAAATCATTTTTTGTTTACTGCTCCACAATCATCCTCTCCCCTTGGATGCACATTTTGGCTTCTGTCAGTCTGCATGCTTAGGCTCACTCTAAGTGTGAAGTTTTAGCTACCTGTGCTAGTTGTGTCCTCTGGGCGTGGCTGAGACAGTTCTGGGGCGGGGCAGCAGGTGCGTAGGATTCCCCCATACGACTCAGGAGCAGAAACCAGTCCAGGAGACGATATGGAAACTGGCTCAACTCCTCCTCAGTGCATTTAGCCTTGGGGACTGATCAAGAATGGTAACAGAGCTCATTTGGCAGGCAGTAGTGCGCAGTGGAAATAGTGTGTAATATCTAATGCTGTGTGTGTTTACCCAGACAGGGTCCTGTGTGAGCCAGCCCAGTGCGGCGTCTCTTTCTGCAGGCTTCTTTATGCAGCAAACACTCATTCCCATAGGTCCTTCCCAGAACACTGCACACTGGTGCCCTCTGCCTGATTGCATGAGCCATTGCCCATATGCAAAACTATATGTGAGGATGGATCACACAACGTGCACAGCTGGATTACAGTACAGCGTTACTTTAGGATTCTTTTAGGTTTATTGTTTTATAATGGGTATTATTAACAAATCCAAAGACAGTGAATAATTAACTTTTAAAGGATACATTAGAGTACATTTGCTGGTCAAAAACAGAAAATTATAACAATCCTAAACAGACAAACAGTTTAAATGGATTATTTACCGTGGACAGGATTGTGGACAAACACACTTGGGGATGAGGACTCCATTTTCCCGAACCACCTGACACCAAGATCCCACCGGACTATGGCATTTCAGCAGCTCACAAAGCTTTTCTGAAACATGAAGGAACGACAACCAACCTTCAGTTTTTACTGGTTTGACGTGTGTTTTCTTTGTCTGATTACAGGCCTGTTCTGATGGCCTCTTATTCCGCTTTCAGTACTGATTAAAGGTGTTTTAGATCAGAGCAACACATAAAATGTGTCATAAGGGTCTATTTAAGATGATGAAATGTTAGAGTGGTGAATAAAAAAAGAGGAAAATGTAAAGCAAATGAATGATGGCAGGACAATGAATGATATAATAACCACATTTCAATCATTGCTACACATTCAGTTCTTCGTCCAAGACGCCATGTTGTGCACATAAGTGACCCAAATTGGAAAGACATGCGCAAAGTAATAATTGTACACATGATTCTCTGCTGATTCTTCACTATACATGTTAATATAGTTGTCTTGTACATTCTTGTCAGTTTTGAATTGATTAGTTATCAGCTGTGTAAACAATTATATGACCTTTTTCATCACTTGATGTGGCAAAAAATTATTTGCAAATTGGACTTTGGAAAGAAAGCAAATACCCTTAAATGGAACTTATTAACTTATTAACTTGTCCAAAAAGATATAAAATTGACATGCAGTCTGAAAGGCTATGTTCACACTGCAGGCACAATTCAGAATTCTTTCGCCACAGTGTGAACAACACAAATCATAAAGAATCTGATCCTTTCAATTCTGATTTGGGACACTTTTATATGTGGGCCAAATTAGATACAATTTCCCAATGTGACCTCAGTGTGAACAGTCACACCAATGTAATTAATGTGACTTTTACATTTCTTCATGAACGCTTGTCATGCAAGTCACTTCAGGATTGTACGTTGTTCACACTGGAAACTGATCTGAGGAAATAAATCTGTTGAGTGTTCAGGCTTGCAGGGTGAATGTAGCCAAAATGGCATTCCTCTAATGTACTCAACATTAAAGTCTTACCTGGCTCTACTCTGCCAATATATGGTCTCAGGCTCTCCTCAGCTTGTCTCTGTTTGCGCTGGGCTCTGCTTCCCTGACCCCCCCACAAACACACACACACACACACACACACAAACACACAGTTGCAGTTTTCTGATATCATGTTTGTAGTCAGAACTGACGGGAGGAAAGGATCATATGTTTTTTTTTCATCTCATTCCAGATGCATGCGCTATACTCAGGTATAAACTTGTCTTTCATTGTAAACCTAAGTGATAAAAAAAACATTGCATGAAACCACAATGAAAATGGTATGTGTTCTCTTTCATATCCATCTCCCCTTCCAATTTCCAGAAACTTTGTAGTTGGCGCCAGGTCCACATCTGCCCCCAAAATCTTCCCAGATTATATGGGAAACAGGTGCAATGCTGACCCAAAATACTGGAGCCACACTTCCATTACTCAGAAACTGCTGTTTTAACACCTATCACAAAACAATCCTGATGATGACTGGGACAGAAAACAGGAGGTGAGGGAAGACTATGTTCAACAACTATCTTACAAAATATCCTTTTACATTTGTTTACAGTTGCAACCCTCATCATGAACAATTCTCAGATCATAATAATAATAATAATAACAATATGATCATCATTTTTATTCAGGTTAGTGCCCACCATCTTTGTAGTTTATAATGAATCTTCAGCATTATTGTTGTGAGAAGTTAGACTCACCATTGCTTTACAAATGTGAAGACTCAGCAGCAGAAACAAGGCAAAGGTCAGGTTCATGGCTGAAACATCCAGTGGGCTAGAAGAGGAAAATGACAAAATATTTAACTAATTCATCTTGCAAACAGCTGTGGTTGCAATCTCAATCTCAACATAAGACTTAAAAACCCTACATATTTGTATCTGTTTCCAGTAGCAGCATCCCTCTACCTCCACATTCCTTGCTATCGATCACATTTGATTTAAAATATAGAAAATAATTATCACTAAAGGACAGGATCAGTTTACCCACATCATGCTTTGTTAAAAGGCGTATTTTTCTCTTCTTTCTCCTGTGGTGTCCTTTACAGAATATTTCTAGTCATTCCGTTAATAGCAGGAAACAATGCAGCTCATTGAGTCTCAAGAAAACAATTATTTTCCATCACAGAGGAAACTGTGGGTTGAATTACACTGAGAGGACATTCAGCTTTCAGTTGAGGAAGTTATTACAGTCTAACAAGTCATTTTCTATCCCCCTGGCTGCTTGCAAAAAAACCCAATCTTACCTCTGTCACTCCTTTTTTCTGTTGTTATTCCCTTGTTAGTGTTCTCCTTCTTTTCCTTGTTGCCAGATACCTTTTTCTCTCCGTCTCACCGGCTCCTATGAGGTTGGGTTCTTTTTACAGCCCTCTTCAGCAGTCTTCACTTTTTCTTTTCATTTGATCCATCTTTCTTTTTTTTTTTATAACATTCTTGCCTTATCCAACCCCACCTCTCTGCTCTTCCCTGTCTGTCTGACTTTCCTACCTTCACATTAAGCTTCTTGTTGATTGCAGCTGAGTGCACAGGTATCTGAACTCAGTGTTACTTTATGAGATTGTGCAGTTGAATGTTGCTGAGATGGAATATGGTGGAAAAGTACAGGAGAACTGTACTTACTGAGAGAGTTAAAGGGGATGAGTTTTTTCGGGGAAGTGGAGTGGTTTTTGAAGTTGGCACTGGTCCACAGGAAGATTTACAAGCCGGAGAGAACATATGGTGGCACTTCTTCTCGCTCTGACACTCATCTCTCTCTCTCTCTCTCTCTCTCTCTCTCTCTCTCTCTCTCTCTGAATTTCTCAAATTCAAACTCCCTTCGTATTTCAAACACACACATAGACACGCAAACAGGCACTCAAAAGGCAAAATAGAATAAATGTATGTAGAGGAAGGACACCTCTGAAAATATGATCCGTCAAAGGCAATAATAGGGAAAAGGCTGCTCTCTGGTGGTTATGTTGGTCAATAACAGGTTCACTGCACATATTCTGCTGGCTGAAAGGTAAAACCACAAATGGTATTTTAAATCTGTCAGTCTGTTGTTGTTTTTTCCCCTTTAAGGGAGGCCCTCATTTTAGGAACACTTTTGGTTTCAGAGTTGGCTTTTTGACTCAGTTTCCTTTTAAAATATTTAATAAAACCATGCTTTAAAAACTTCCCCTGGCTAAGCTCTTCTCATTGTACGGAAGAAGCACTGAATATTAAATTGAGGAGAAAACACAATTAAAAAAACATGAACGAGTAAAACCTAAAAAAAATAATAAAATAAATATATCCATGATAAAAAAAAACAGCATTCAGCCTTTTGGTAAAGTTGCATATTTGTTAGTGTTCTGTTTGTGGTGATTAAGGGTAACTTTGGCGAGGCTACACTGCAACTTCCCCAGGGCCCTAGACCCTCAGGGGCACTAAACCCCATAGACTGTGTATATTAGATGCGAACATACACCAAAAATACAATACCAGCTAAATTGATTTCAGCCTTAAGGCAGGTATTGTTTTATTACCTGCCTTAACCACCTGTCTTGTAAAGGTCCCTGAGACCACAAACAGGGGTCAATATTGGCCCTGGGCTTTTTACAAGGGGGCCCCATGGGATGATTCATCTGATTTAGGTAGATTTTAAACAGATTATATAGGAATGCTTTATTAGATTACCCTAACTGTAAAACCAGGATAAATTGACCTACCCGAAAGAGCCATGCTTTTTTGTCATGAATAAATATTACAACATTACCACCAACAACATAATGCTATTGGATGATCACTGGGTGACTGCATAGTAACCATAAAATAGAGCACTAATAACTGACTAATAAATGCTTAAAATGGGACTTTGTACAACAACTGAAGGCGAGACACAAACTAACTTTTTTTTAATAAATTTTTTTTTTGAGAACTCATGAGTCTGTAATTTCTAACACAGCATATTTCAGTTTTTTAGGAGTATATACCAAAATGATAGCCACCTTAAAGCAGGTCCTGCTCCTCCTACCTTGCTTTATTATGCCTACTTATTGTCACAACAATAAATACGCAGTTACCCCAATAAGCTGCAAATAAACAAGCAGCCTATTTATTGTCACAATTGTAAACAGGCTGCTACAACTTTAGGCACCCCTTTCTAACATGGCATATTTAATTTCAACCACATCTCTATAAAAAGCTGTATATAGTGTACAAAGAACTCTCATTCTCTTATTCTATTTTCATTATATCTGATATATATATTTGTCTATTCCATTTTTATTAAATGTGTATTTTCTGTTGTGTATCTGGAGCTGCTGTAGTGAGAGAGTTTCCCCAGTGTAGGATCAATAAAGTCTATCTTATCTTATATTAAATGTTTTCCCCATTAATAGCTGATACCTGGCATTATATGTGTTGTAAACCCTTTACACTGCTAGACCTAATAACTAGTTCTAACTAGTGATAACTAATAACTAACTATCAGTGCTGCTGCTGGCTATACCAAACATGACGTAATAACGTTAGTGCTGTGTGGTGAGTACTCTCACGTGCACCGAGTACCACACCACCACACGCCTCATTATGGTCTGACGTCACATCAAGGGCTCGCGGGAAGGCTGCAGCCACTTTAAAAGCTAGTTTGCTTTCGGTGACCGGAGCTACGATTTCTGAAAAACAACAACAACAAAAAACAAAACGCTCTAAAAAGCTAATGAAATGAATACTAAAGCTACAGATAACGTCTTAAGTAGCACACAGATGTAGACGAACAAACACTTGGAGGTCAGCCTGCAGTGTCGCCCTTTGAGACCCAGGTGACATCTCCACGCTCCGCCCAGCTGGAAGCGAGAGGACGGTGTCGGAATGATAAACTGCTTTTGGGAAGTCGGTCGGTGCTGTGTGGTTGCCTGCTGTGGGTGACTTTGTTTACAAGACTAGGTGTTGTTTTGTATCGGGGTTTCACGTTATTTACATGGTCGGAGTTTGTTTACGTTCGGCCGTACGGACTGTGTTTTCCCCCCTCGGTGGTGCTCGGTATCGTCGGGGCTGACACCGTGACACTTTAAAGTAGCGGCTCAGTGATACAGTCGCCTCGGGCTGTTTCTAATGGAGAAGTGGGAGTAACGTTACTTCGGGGACATTTGAGGAATTCCCAACACTTTGCGGTTTTCCAGTGAACTCGTCTTAATTGCTATAAGACTCAATCTCGTTGATTCGGTTGGTATCGATACAGAAGATTATATGAAGATTTTCATTGAACTTGTGCAGCATAGTGACTGTTGGCTACGGGCTAGCTCTCACTTCATGAATGAATCGTACAAATAGTGTTTATAAACGGAAAGTGAAAGACAACCTCTGCTCGGCCGCTTACTTTACAACATGTTGTTATCAAGTACAGGACGACGAACAAGTGAACTGTTTGCTGACCCACCTTTAAGGCTGTAAATATGCTTCTAACGGCATAACTCAGGTAAGTGCAATGATATTGTACATGTATCCGGTTATATAGGTGCTGTTACTATTGTAAAATGATTGGAAAACAGTGAAAGTTACAGTGTTAGCAATATTGGCTGCATTTATATTGTATTTAATCTCTTTATATCTCTGATTGTGTATGTGTGGATACAGAACATGGTAGCTACACATATATATATTTTTAATTAAACTGATGAAGACAACCCAAAACAGCCTTTAATAAGGTTGCCAGTATAGTCTTTCTCTGTGCTGCCCAGTGAGGCAGAAGAGGCCACATCACCCCCCACAGCCATAACATGCCCTGCAAAGAGTCACTGTACTTGTAATGAGGATGACCAGGCCTTTATCTAATAAGCATATGAAAAGTAACTTATTATATAACAAATGATTACAAGAAACTGTGCACACTGATCTCAGTATGTAGTAATTGGAGTTTTGGTTGACATATGTCTCACCATGTCTCTCTGTATGGCTCAATAGTTGAAGGGAACTCAGTCTTGTTTGAGATTCACCTCTCAGATGTATACATGTCAGGATTGAAGGGTAACTGAAGATGACTCGTGCCTTCGTTCTTCATTCTCAGACAGGAGTTCAAATTTAACCGGGGTTTTTATACCATGCAGTGCAGCCTCACATATTCATATTTTTATACCACTACTTAAGTTGCTGTCAGTCAAGTCTCGTAAATATGTGTGTGTGTGTGTGTGTGTGTGTGTGTGTGTGTGTGCCATTTTAGGCTGTGATCTATTACAGCCCAGACAGTGCAAAGCGCCATGGCATCAACACGCCAGTACACATTAGGATAAGGCATGACTGATTGCCCCTTAGTGTAAGTGAGATGGGCACTCCCCTGGTGCTCCAGTGTTTGGGTGGAGTTGCATTTATGCACGCACACACCACGCCAATCCATGTGTGTGTTCTTCAGACACCTGTTGGCATAGGTCCTGGAGCGCCACCTTGGCTGAGGGTGTGTTTACAATCTGATTCCCCCCAACAACAGCTGAATGTCGCCACTGTGTGCCTGGCTGCCGAAGACCCCCCAAATTGCAGTTCAATATATGTGAGGGTTTTTCCAGACTGCGTCTCTGTTGTCTGCCTGTCTTCATGTGTGCCCCTAACCGTCAGGATCAGTGTGCTATGTGTGTAGATACACATTATACACATTTCGCTGTGCATAGCGGTCATTCCAAGACACTGTAAGGCCCCTTAAGGTGATGAAAGGGCCAACAGATAAGATGTTGAAGAGAAGAAGAAGTTAGAAGCAACTGTTTATAGCACAGAAAAGTGTTGAGTCACTTCTATAAAAATGGCAGAAATCACAGACTGAGGGAGTCAGTGTAGAGCAAGGTGAGCATTAAACAGCTCTTGTTCTCTCCTCTGTTTCCTCTTACTCTTTGTTTGCATACACTTGTGAAGGATCTAATGGCTGTGTATGTAAAAGGCCCAGAGATGAGGTCATTCAGGATAATTCATTGTGGTTATAGTTTTGCACGTGTCTTTATGTGTGTGTTGTGGTGTTTGTGCTCAGAGCCGAGCGACTTGATTTGACTTTGACTTTCCTCTGATCCTCCTTGCCCTCTTCTCTCCCTGTATGTGGCCTATCATTAGAGCTATACTTAGCCACGCTTATCAGTTCTGTCATTCCCTTGGTAAGACCACAGATGTTTAAGGGCTTGGAATAGCTCAGTGTGTAGCAGAGTGGAGATACAGGAGCTCAGATGCACTGACACAGGGTCAGAAATTGACAGACACTTAAAAACAGGCGAGGTTATAGCCTGAGGTAGTTTAAATGGCAGTGATTAAAAATGTTGATTTATACTACAGCATCATGAGGACATATACAAATAATAAGTATATGTTGAAAAAAGAAAAATTAAAGCTAGTGAAAGTGTAACATTTAAGTACTTTGACAACATTTTTTTGTAATCGATTTACTATTGCCTAATATGCACTGTGATATCTGGCACCATTTGTAACTCTAGATTGTATAACTTTTCCGTTCAATACTTTAAAGCAGTGTTGTTATGGGATGGGCTGGGGAGTGTTTTTGTCAGTGTACCAGTCCCTCTGTTCTTTCCCTCCGAACAGAGTGTTTGCACAGGTGTCATTATAAACACAATGCAGGGTGGCAGAAGCAGATGTGTGTCATTATTGGCTTGACAATGGCATTTTTTTCAAGGTACAGTGAGCAGTTGCTGAAATCTTTTACCCAATGGAATAGGCTTGTTTCACAGCAGACATTTTGACTTATAATAATGACACGGGTTAACTAATAACATTAACATGTTCTATGAAAGAGTCTCAGTTAAACATGACAGTGAAACTGAAGCTCCATTCATTTTATGATTTACATCTGTTCTTTTCTACTGTGACGTGTCAAAATGTCTTCTGTAAAATAAGGTTTGTAGTTGGTATATGGCATATGAAAGGCTTCAGCTTTGTTAATACACCCTTTTCACAGCAACCATTTTGACATGAAATAGGGTAAACACAGGTGTTACAGATGGTACTAATAAGTATTGTGTTTCCTTCAGGCTCCTTCAGGGAGCTGCTATTGTGTATGTTGGCTCACTGGACAGACTGTATGACACTAAATGGAGCAGAACCTTCATTAGTATAATTGTTTACCCTACTATTTCATGTCAAAATGGCTGCTGTGAAAGAGGTCTATAATGTGCATAATCTGGTGTCTCACTTTGGTTGATTAGACCTCTTTTCTAAACTGCGTTGGCCTGCACACAGACTGTCCTTGATTGATCTTCCAACTTCCAGCTCCGCCCAATGTCTACCTCAGCAGAAGCCTACTTGGCTATTACATAAAAACACCTGTGTGAGCGTGCAGGGCTTTCAAGTAGAAACAAATGAGAGAAAAGGATAATACATATATATATACACACACATCAAGCAGATAAAAATGAGCACTTACGTCACAAATTAATTTCCTGTCATTGTCGTTGTTATTGTCAGTACTGTATATGATGTTTAAACTGCATGCTGTTCCTATATTAAGAGCAGCAGCATGGCATATTCATTACATGCCTCACCAGGTGTCTGCACTTGCCAGCATGTCAGCTGTCATTGTGGATCATATGAGTTTATATATGTAGTGTATGCTCCTGCCTCATCAAGTTCCACTGTCTCTCTTTAGCCTCAGGTAATGTAAGTGCATTAAGCTTGCACTACCAAGCAGGCTGCTGGATCACTCTCCTGAAGACCTTTACCTCTCATTCAATAATCCCTCAAGGCTTTGAGTCATGTGATATAATAGAGTCTTTAAGGCCTAAGGACAATGAAGGAGCTGGAGACTACGAGCTGGGTTTTCATGGTGAAACTTTGCTTTCAACATCTCTGCACTAACACTGCTGAGTCACTCTCAACCACCACATGCGACCTGCTGAAATCTGCATGCATCTGTTCAAAATAGCTGTTTTTCTCGGACATGATGGCTTGTTTCCAGAGCACTGCCCAGTTAATAAAAGATGTCTGAGTGTCTTTGTTCTCATGTTACTTTACCAGTTTCGTTTTGGCACATCGCCTCTTTTTGGTCACTGAGTAGTGGTATATCATTGTCACTCCTAAACTTCCATTTCACCCAGGATAACATAGGGTCTTTCATGTGACACACCAGTAAAGTTTAAGCTCTGAATCTGATGGCTGAGGTGCTGTGAGGCTGTAGTGACTGTATTGTCCTTTTCAGAGGCAAAAACAAATGCTGTCCCCAAATGTCAGCCTATGCGGTCACCTGCACAGACATGAAGTTTATATGCAAATACTGTGTTTGCATGTCTGACTCAAGTGCAGTATCTTTTCCCCAGCAGCCATTTTGACATGAAATAGTAAGGTAAACACAGGTGTTACCAAAAATACTTATTAAGGTTCAGTTTCATTTTAGTGTAGAGACACTGGTGAGACACCGTGCACAATAGCATCATGGTAGACCTGGATGGAATGGAGCCTTAATTAGTATCAGCTACGTTTGGCGTACTAATTCATGTCAACATGGTCTTTCTGTGTTCAAAGCAGTTTACACAGCAGGGGTATATCTAGCCACAATCACCACCAATGAGTAATCAGTCAGTTTATCCAAGAAGGCTCCTGAGGTGAATAGAAAGCTTACTCTATTGTATGAGACGCTCTTTTGGATAGGTTCCCCTCTAGTTTCATCAGTTGACCTAATAACTCTAAACCCTGTGAAAAATTGGCTACAAAGGCATGGCATTTGATGGATGTTAACCACCAACTGTGACCTTATTTGATGTGATGAGGCCTTGTTCTCCCTGGCCTCATAAGATATTGCTTGCCAGTTACTGTACAAAATTGTGCTGCCTTAGGAAATAGTAGAGATTGGGGGAAGCGTTTGTTAAGAGAGACAGCCTGATAGTGAATGGAAAGGAAGGAGGCACAGGAAAAGATGGAAGTTGGGCAGAGAGGAAGTTGACCTAATAGCAGTGTATTGTCCATTCACAGAGGACAAATCCAATAGGAACATGGCCTATTAAAAGCTCACAATGTTTCATATTTCTTATCCAAGACTCGGTGTCATGGAATGCATTAATGTCCATTCTCTGACCTCTCAGGACAGGCCTGTGTTTTGCATTATACCATGCTGATAAGGAGTGAGTTAGAAAAAAAACAAATGCACAGTTAAACAGCACAGTGGGTAGATAAGCTGAAGATTTAAATTAGTTTTTAAATGAACTCACATGTCAGTGTGAAGAAAAATTGTTGCAGCAGAGAAAGTGATCTCATTGTTCCGGTATCAAAGAAAAGCATGATCGAAGCCATGTGGTTGCTGAAATAGTTATGAATGTGACCCTGAGTCCTAGTTGTTGTGTTAGTGTTTGTGTGTGTGGTGCATTAATCATGTAAGAAAACATGTTTATACAGGATTTATCTTTTATTTAAGGGGGTGTAACAGCAGTGTATAATCCTTCACATGTAATTTGTGATTAAAACCGTCACACTCGTGTGAAATGTGATATGCTTCTTAAAAAT